AAACGAAGCTGACATAGGAAAGACTGGCTTAGTTCAACACAAAATAAACACAGGTGAAGAATTGCCTATCCGTCAGCGGCCAAGAAGGTTGCCGGTAGCACGTGAAAAGGAAGTGGAAACCATGATTGAGGGAATGGTGAAGGATGGTGTTATTGAACCTTCATCTAGTCCATGGTGTTCACCCGTGGTACTGGTGAAAGAAGGATAGCAGCATGCGGTTTTGTGTTGACTACCGCCGTTTGAACGACCTTACTAAGAACAGCTATCCCTTGCCAAGAATCGATGACACCCTGGACATGTTTACAGCAGTAAAGTGGTTTAGCAAGCTGGATCTAAAAAGTGTCTACTGGCAAGTTGAAATTAACCCTAAGGACAAGGAGAAAACTGCGTTCTCGACGGGAAAGGGTCTGTGGCAATTTAAAGTAATGCCGTTTGGATTGTGCAATGCTCCAGCAACGTTTGAAAGGCTGATGGAGCTTGTACTTACCGGGCTAATGGGCGATGCCTGTCTGGTCTACTTGGATGACATTGTAATAGTGGTGGTATTCGGTCCACTATTAACAGACTCCAAGTGGTTTTGAGGTGGAGAAATGAAACTACTATTTATGTAAAGCCGAATGGAGTATGAATATGGAATGGAATGGAATATATTTGCGTCAACCTTGCCTATATTTATATGGCCGGCTACATTGTTGGTTTAACAATTTTTATTTTCCCTAGCCAATTATAATGCTTATATCTATGAAGATTAATCAAATTACACAACTGTAATGTACGTTTCGTTTTCCGGCGTGAGACTCGTGTTATCTTCACGTAGCTACGCTGGACCGGGCTATAAAAGTCATACAGGTCGGCGCGCGTACGTAGTCGGCATAGATTACTGACTATATACTAGGTAGTCGGCGAGCGGCGGCGGCGTTGGACACAGCTCCGGGACAGCAAGAAGAAGCGAGCTGCGGCGTTGAAGAAACGGCTCACAATTGGTCGACGGATACGTGACGATAGCGGCGTGTGAAGACGATGTGGCGCTGAAATATATTTGCGGCTGCTTCTTGTTTCTTTATAAGAACGTTAAATATATACGTCAAATTATCGATATGCAGTCCGCAGTATCTCAGTAGCCGAGGATAGTTAGGAAATAAATGTTTTTTATTTTCGCCTTCTGTGTTATGGTAGCAACGGGGTATATATTGTTTATTCCCGTTTAGGGTTGGTTAGCCTGGCTGCTACAACATCATCATCGTGGGCCGTACGTTTGAGGAACACCTTCAAAACCTGGAACGCGTGCTCATGAAGATTCAGAGTGCCAACCTCAAATTGAGTCCGAAGAAATGTTCACTATTCAAACGGCAAGTCAACTTTTTGGGGTATGTAGTGTCGGAGAAGGTATCCGCACGAATCCAGAGAAAATCGCAGTTGCAATATCGCATTCCAGGAGCTCAAGGACTGTCTGTGCAAAACACCTATTTTGGGATACCCTGATGCAAGCAAAGAATTTATAGTTGACGCAGGCGCAAGTGATATTGGACTTGGCGGTGTGTTGTCTCAACGGAATGGTGACCAAGAGGTTGTGATAGCGTACTTCAGCAAGTCGTTGTCAAAACCGGAAAGGAACTATTGTGTCACAAGACGCGAATTGCTAGCTGTGGTAAAGTCGTTGCAGCATTTTAGCAAATATCTTCTGGAGCGAAAATTTCACTTACGAACTGACCATGCTGCACTAAAATTGCTATTGCAGTTTAAAAATCCAGAAGGACAAGCTGCGAGGTGGATTGAACTACTGCAAGGAATACGACTTTGAGATCGAACATCGCAGCGGGAAATCTCATGGCAACGCAGCATTTAGAAGACCTTGTCCTGAAGATTGCAAACATTGTACTAGGCAAGAGAGTAAGGAAGTGGTATCCGTGAGGATGCTCAGGGCAGACCACCTCAGCAACGAGTGGAAGGACAGCTTACAACGTGCACAGCAGGAAAATCCGGACATCAAGCCGATTCTGGAATGGATGAAGGCCAGTGCTCCCAAGCCCAAGTGGAGCGACGTCTCAGCGATGAGTTCGACCACTATAAGCTATTGGGCCCAGTGGGACAGCTTGCTGCTTCAGGATGGAGTTCTGTGCCGTAAATGGGAAAATGTTCGGGGAGACAGCTGTCATTTGCAAATGGTTGTCCCTAAAGCTAAAGTACCGGATGTTCTATAGCTGTACCATAATGATTATTCAGGAGGCCTTCTGTGAGTTAAACGAACTCTACTGAAGATCCGAAAACGGTTTTACTGGATCCACTGTCGAAACGATGTCGAGGACTGCTGTCGCAAATGTACAAGTTGTGCGGCTGTAAAGGGACCTCAGACTCGTAGTAGAGGTGCATTGAAGTTGTACAATGTTGGTGCACCATGGAAGAGAATAGCCATTGACGTGGCGGGGCCGTTTCCGAAGAGTGAAAGCGGTAACAAGTATTTCATGGTTGTGATGGATTACTTCACTAAGTGGCCAGAAGTCTTCGCCATTCCAAATCAAGAAGCTTCAACAGTTGCAGATAAACTAGTTCATGAAGTCTTCTGTCGTTTTGGAGTACCTTTAGAGATTCACAGCGATCAAGGAAGGAATTTTGAGTCTCAAATATTCCAAGAAACTTGCCGAGTTATGGGTACTCATAAAACAAGAACGACTTCTTATCACCCGCAATCTGATGGAATGGTAGAACGATTTAACCAGACATTGGAGAGGTACCTAGCAAAAGTTGTAGACAATCGGCAACGAGATTGGGACAAGCACATACAACCGTTTTTGTTGTCATATCGAAGCGCTGTTCACGAAAGTACAGCAGTGACACCAGCTTTCGCAAACTTTGGAAGAGAATTACGGCTGCCTGTAGACCTGATCACCGGAATACCACCTAATGCCCCACGCAGTATAACCGATTATGCAAATGACTTGTGGAACAAAATGAATGACATTTATGAGCACGTCAGACAGTCGGGCCAGCAAATGTCTGAAAAGATGAAAACCCGGTATGACCACAAACTGAACAACAAAGGGTTCGACGAAGGTTCACTAGTGTGGTTGCACAATCCAGTCCGCAGCAAAGGGAAATCTCCTAAGCTTCAAGGTAAATGGGACGGCCCGTACCGGATTGTAACCAGGATCAACGATGTAACCTACCGGATACAGAAAGGCGCAAGAGGGACTCCTAAGATCGTCCATGTGGATCGCCTGGCGCGTTATTATGGGGCCGATAATGCTCGGGACGAGCATGTCTTAGGAGGGGGCAGTGTTGCGCGCCTAAGTTGACGTCTGGCATTAGCGCCATCTGTGTCGGGTAACGGAGTGAGGAGAGCTTTCCAGAAAATGACATCACTAATCTTTCAACCGACAGCGCCATCTAGTATCGAAACGAAGAACTAAGCTTCTAGAAGCCCGACACTCGAACTTTCGGCGCCTAGTCGATTGGCGCGCGTATTTACTTGAATAATCTGGATGTTTCGGTGATAATGTGTATTTACAGGCGCTGCAAGATGCGAGCGGGGAAGTATTGAATTTAGCGAGACAAGCGAAGCTTCGGAGCGAAATAAAGTGAATCAGTGTGGTTAATTATTAGTGGTCTAAGTTTTAATTTGTGTGAAGTGAATTAAAGAATTAATTTTGGTAATTCAATCGGCAGTTTTTAATTATCACGAACCTCAAGCTCGTAACAATAATAAAGAAGAAAATAAACCTCCAACATGAATTCGAGAAAACAAGTGATGGTTGAGTGGCTCCAAGCTCACAACATCGACTTTTCAAATAATTGCACTAAACCGGAGTTATAATTATTAATAAAACTGCACAAACCGCCGAAAAATTATAAAACTGACAAATTGTTAACTGACAATGGCCACGAAGTAGTAATATTGCTACCATATAACTGCGACCTCAATCCTATCGAATCCTATGGAACTTAGTCAAACAGAATTTCAGAAAAGAATGTAGAAAATTAGACCTTGGAGGCGTTGGCGTCAATAACTACAGACTTAGACCATTTAAGGTCTAAGACTGCAGATGATTGGAAGAAAGAAGTTTTAATGACGCGAAGAGACTTAAAAAAGAATACTGACGTAAAGACCGAATAACTGACGATTTATTTATTATCAATAAAATTCGTTGAGAGGTGTAATGAAAACTTATCAAACAGACAAGACTTCTTTCACCTTTATTATATTAGTAGGTAATTTAATAGGAAATATTTATAATTAAATACCTATAAATATATGTATTATAATATAATATAAATACCTATAACCCTAGGTTGTTAACTTTTTTCACCGGAGGTGGCAACACCTCTCATAGTCTAAGATCCCGGTGCAAAATCACTATAACAAAATCATACGTTCATTACGTTGTGAGTCCAACGCACATTTTTACATACGTTTATGAATAGGAGAATACACTGATAATACCGCAACCGAACGAATTTTTTTTTCGAATATTAATTAACATTAATTTAATTAAATTTACTTGCGGCCACTTTCGACTGGATACGGTGTTATCAGTGTATTCTCCTATTCGTAAACGTATGTAAAAATGTGCGTTTGACTCACAACGTAATAAGCATAGTGATTTTGCAGCGGGATCTTAGACTAAGGCCCCGTACAAGGATTAACTTTTTTGTTGTCTGTACTTTTTTGCGGTGGATGACGTCACGCAGCTGACAGCTGATAAGTGTTATTGTGACATCGCAATTCGCAATATCAACGTGCGCGGCTTATATTATGCTCGTTTGTTATTCTTATTTGCTTATTTGTTATTCTTATTCTGTAAAAACATACTTACAGGGACACATATTATAGTTATACTCTTTGCAGGAACAGTTAGCGACACAGGTACAGGGCATTTTACTTTGCCTGTGAAGAATTTAGATATTGGTATTGATTTTGGAAAAGAACACAAGCCGGAATTGCAAGTAAAAGGAAAAAAAAGAAGTTAAACACATACTTAATAAGTTTTTACTGATCAAAACTCATGGAAGCCACCGTTTTAAAAAAGAAAAAAACCACGATCAGTAAAGGTAAAATTAAGAAAACAATAAAAAATGTCATAAGTAGACCTGATCCTGTTTATTGGTAAGTTTATGTTAGATAATGTATTCTTGCTGGCCATTTATTGCCTCAAAGTATATAATATAATAAAACTAATAAATAGTAAATGATTAAAGTATTGTATTGTGAAAAAGTCTGGTGGTGTTAAAGGTAAATCTATTTTATCTCAGGTCTAGGTTTAAAACTACATTACTTAAGCCAAATTAAAAAAATTTCGACTGCAGGAGACTGAAAAAGAAGCAGCATTGGTAATATGTCGAGCAAATTATTAGCAAAGCATAACAATTATTATGTTAATTTTTACTTTAATAAAGAACACCTATGCATAATCTATGTCCCCATGTCTAGCAAGGACTTATTAGATTGAATCAGGTTAATGTAAGGTAAAAATATATTTAAAGAAAATTTAGTAAATTTAAACAACCAAAATATGATGTGATCTTAACAATATTTCTGTTTAAGATCCTTTTTCTTTTATTTACTTTTATACAGGGGAGATGTATATACTCAAGCTGGTTTTTGACTGGTCACATAAATACTCATTTGATATTAAGCACTTATATAGGTCTCAAGGTTTTAAGCATATGGCATTTGCCAAATAGTATAAGAATATACATATAGTCTTACACATACTGCATTATATTAGATGACATTTGATTCAACACTTAATGTTTGAGACTCAATTTTTTAAATAATTTTACAAAATCATGGTATAAATTATGTCTTTCCAAAGGACAGACTATAACAGACCCATACTATGCTCACCAGTTAGATAAATTAGCTGACAAAATTTGTGAAAAGCTGCTGTGATTGGCCAAAAAGAAAATCCTTTCCGTCAGGATAATGCACCAGTACACAAGTCAGTTGTTGTATAAGGTTAAGCTCCATGAACTCCGTTTCAAAGTATTAAACTATTCCTCATATTTGCATGATCAGATGGTAGACCGTAAGATCGTCACTTTAGCATTATAAAAGGTAGTGATTTTAAGTGCACAGCAGTGAAATAAAAACATTGTGAGAAATCTGTGTGCCTAAGAAAAAATATTTTTAGTGAAGTTTTAAATCTTCAGGCAGCACTGTGGACTTTTATACATCTCCAAAAAATAAATTAAAAATCAACATTGGCATTTGAAAACTTGCCAAATAAGAAAATTTGGATGTTTGTGACAAATACGATGTTTTACGTGCATTTGGAGGAGAAATGAAGCTCAATTAATTTCATGCATTTTTGATTAAGTAAATACCATTGGACTATTTACTGTTCCTTAAATTGAAATAGACCTGGCTGTAAGAAAGTTCTCCACAAACAAAAAGGTGAGGCAGAGCAGTTTTTTGAAGAGTTGGAGGAATGGGCTTATAAGAGCAGCATAGATTGTATAAGTGGATTGAGAAGGGGAGAATATGTAGAAAAAGAAAACATTTTATTTATTTTCTTTATTTGTACTTAATGGTACAAAGATTCTCTACATAAGAAAATGTCAATACACTAGAAGACACTTAAATAATCCTGGACCTTGTTATACATCTTACAATGATAGCATTTTTATTAAGGGGATAAATCTATACTTAATATTCTGTACTTCTAATATGGATAATCTCTTCTAATTGGATATTTCTAAGAATCAGTATGCATTGCTTAGGACATCTCATCATTTTTTATAAACAAACTAAATGCAGGTCAGTTTAACACTTAAATTTCTTGTTTTAGGCCTGTAACATCTGAAGCAGAGAGCAAACAAATAGAGTCTATTTTAAATAAATACCACATAAGTATACCAGAATTCAAAAAACCGACTTGGGATGTTTTAAAAAATATGCCTAAAAATGCAAGGCCTAAACCTCCTCCATTAAAGTAAGTTCTTAATATTTTAAAGACTAGCAGCGAAACCCAGCATTGCCCGGGTCAAAATACATCGCACACTTAATTGTTATAAAATCAGTTATTCTATCTTATATATGTACACAAATCTTTGTACCAATATACGTATGTTGTATATAGTGTATACATAATTGACTGATTAATTAACTTATTAAAATAATTATGAATCAAATTTGAAAGTAATTTGTATAAATAAAAAAATATGTTTTATTGAATATAATCATATTTACAGTTTTATAAAAGATTATATTTTTCTAAGCCAACAGATGGATGGACAACCGCTGGATTGCGATAGTGTATTGGGAAATCCAAAATATGCCAAATTGCTTCATTAACATTGATGTAACGATCCATTTGTTACTGTATTGTCTCATTGTGCTGGTTTTTTTGAGTGAATATACTTGCATATGATGGATTTAACAGAATTGCAGTATTTGACATTGTTGTGTGCTTTGAACATTTTACATAGAAGCAGATTGTATAGAACTACCCATTGATCGTTAATTACAAGTTCTTCATTTCCTCATATTTTAATTTTTGCTGTTAAACCCCTATTCTATATATATAGTCTATTTTGGATATCCGCTTTCGCTTGTTATTGTTTCATTAGGAAATGGTTTTGGACAGCGTTTTTACATTTATCATCTTTCTTGCAAGGAGTACTTTTATTTAATCCGGGGCTAGGACCATGAACCATGTTTTTCACTATAAATTCTTATAGTTCGGGATCTTTGAAATTCAGCCTTTCTAGTCAGTCAGTCTACTTTATCCGGGGCAAATTAACTTGTGAGAGTGGGGCAGTATTTTTTGCCATTCAATTAAATACATCCAGCTGAGAACATCACCAAATATTGGTTTTTTGACAATAGTGTCGACAAATTTAATTTGTTTTTGTCGAAAAACTTGAACAATAACATATTGTCGGTTGTTGGCCACCTGTCCGTATTGTGATTATTCTTTGATTTCCTACCAAGAAGGACATGAGAATGTTATAAATAAGGCAGGTCGATCATATTTTTTGACATTGGTCATTGCATCTTGAGTGTATTCGTACATATAACGTCCAGTAAACTTATATGGTAAAATTACCAATTTTCCCATGTTTTCTATGTTTTCATCAATTATCATTGTGTCTTTTAAATAGACATATTTTTCCGAACGCAAGTTTTGTTGATTATGACGAATAAATTCAAATCTTTCTGTCTCAATTTTTGCATACATGTCAACAATAAACTGCTGGAATAATTTCCGACAGTTTAGAATATGATTATATTCACCACTTCTAACCATAATTCAATAAGCGTAGAAATGCATCGAAGATACTTTTTTTGTAGCTTCAGCACCTGTGGTTGGATTTACTTGTTGGATGTTAAAGTGGTAACCGTCTTCACCTTGCCAAAATATTAACGGATACTGCATCGCATCGTAACTGCGATGTGTTTCAGTAATATGTTGCAGTTGGTAACTTCAGTGGTGAAAAATGATATCACAATGACTATATTCATTATCAACAATTACTACTGCAACTTCATTCACTTGAGTTGCATTGAATGTTTGTTTGTGTTCACTGGCTAGTCTTTTTTCTGCCTGAATGATGATCTTATAGTTATTTGCAACCATTTGTTCTAGAGAGATGTTAAATACTTTAATCATTGGATTATGTTTATGAAGCAAATGTTGTAACTTTTAAATAATATTTTTCTTTAGCCCCTGAATATGAGTGCAACGCTGATGTATTTCAAGCTGTTCATTTCCAATGAAATAGGTATACTTGAAGGAATTTTGGTCTGTGAAAGCATTAGCAAGCCTATTCGGTGATAACCTGAGAGATAATTTTATAGCTGCTGCTAAAAAATGTAAAACTTTAACTGCTGCGGATTTAGGATTGAGAAGTGATAGCAGGATTTTCGTTAATGACCACCTTACGTTTGAGAATAAACAGCTACTTAATAAGACAAAAGCTCTTGCAAGGGAGAAAAATTTTTCTTATACATGGGTAAAAAACTGTACAATTCTAATGAAAAAGAATGCGACATCTCCTACATATGCAATAAAAACGGAAGCAGATTTAAAGAAGATTTTCTGAATATAAATTTGTTCATTTCTATATCAATTTGTGAAACAAGTTTGAGAAACACTGGTAAGTTAAGTCTATTCTATTTATTTATCTTATCACTGACGGTACACGTTGTTGCTCTGTTGTCGCTCGGTTTAATAGCTGCTCAGTGCATTTTTTATTTGTACCTTAAACTATATGTGATATTAGTTAAGATAGCGTTTAGTTTGACAAATATTAAATTATTTCTTGCGGTATTTTATTGTTGTATAAATGATCAATACTTCTTCGTTGATACTTATACTACACATTTTGCGTCTTATTTCTTTAGCAATTGCTGCAATATGAACAAATTGGCGCTGTTATTTGCTGTAGTTAAACACATCCATATACTTTTTATATAACAATTATGATGTTATATGCTTGACGGAGACGTGGCTTAACGATGACTTTTGTAATAACGAGCTCTTTGATGACCGTTATGTTGTTTGGAGACGTGATAGAAACCATAATGTTACAAATCAAACGTTGGGAGGTGGTGTGCTTATTGCTGTTAAGCGTGAGCTTGCAGTGGAGGAGCGGGTCGACTGGCGTTCTTCTGCCGAAGACACATGGGTATCGTTAACTCTTCGGCGTTCCAAACCGAAAATGACATATAAACTGCATATTTGTACGATTTACTTATGCAGACAAAACCTGGGTAACTCATTATCTGCACAGTTAGCTTGTTTTTATACAAAGTTATACGACATAGTAACGACCAATCTACCTGATGCTTTCGTTATTTTGGGAGATTTTAATCTACCAAATATAACTTGGACTCTTGACGATGACTTGTACTCTCTTTGTCCAGAAAATATTGAGGGGTCCATTCAGTCCGACTTTTTTGACACCTTAAATACGTGTAATCTGCAGCAATATAACTCTCATACCAATGTTAACAACAGAATACTCGACTTAATTTTTTGTAATAATCACTTATCCGCAACAAAATGTACCGACCCTTTAGTGCCTGAAGACCCTCATCATGTGGCTCTTAATGTTCTAACGGATTTTGTCGAGTACCACACTTTACCAGTCCAGCCAAGGACTAAGTATATGTACCATTTAGCTGATTTCTCCTCTATATCACGAGAGCTTGATAATTTTACATGGTCTCACGATCTTTTTAAGGGCACAGTGGACGATGCATTGTCACTATTATATACTCGACTAAACAACTTGTGCGGCACTTACATACCAACAAAAGTAGTAAAATCTTCTTCTAAATATCCCCCTTGGTATAAAACCCCTCTTATAAAAATTTTAAAGGAAAAGTTTAAATATCATACCAAATATAAAAAATATGGCAATTTGTCAGATCATGAGTCTTTTTTAGTATTACGTAATCGCGCCAAACAATTAGAATCCGAAATGTTCAACAATTATATAGCAAAGATAGAACTCAGCATAAATAAATCGCCAAGGACCTTCTGGTCTTTCGTGAAATATAAAAAAGCGTCAAACGCTTGTCCATCTATAATGAAGTATGGACACATATCATCAGGCCAAGGGGATACTATTTGTAATATGTTTAGCGATTTTTTCTATGGTAATTTTCACAAAGTTCGCAATAACTATAACACCCGATATGAGCCCGATAATTGGCGATCACATACTGTGTCGGGTATAAACTCGATACAAGTTAGCGAAACTGAAGTCTTTAAGCTTTTAAACTCGATTGACCTTAATAAATCTGCAGGCCCAGATGGTATACCACCCATTCTTATAAGTAAGTGTGCTAAAAGCTTGACTATACCGTTAACAATAATGTACAGACGTTCTCTCAAGGAAGGAATAGTACCTCTTATTTGGAAATCTGCATTTATTACCCCCATCCATAAAAATGGTCCAAAAGACCGTGTAGAAAACTATAGGCCAATATCCAAGCTTTGTTTATTCAACAAAATCTTTGAGAAAATCGTATACTCGTCTGTATATCATGGCATCAAACAAACACTCAGTGATTATCAACACGGCTTTTTAAAAGGTAGATCCACGGTTTCGAACCTTATTGTCTGTTCTGACTATTTAACTAACATCATGTCTGAGCGCTTACAAGTTGACGTAGTCTACACTGATTACAGTAAAGCGTTTGACCGTTTAGATCACGTTATACTTCTCAGAAAACTACTCGAGGTAGGTATCAGCGGCGACCTGTTTAGGTGGTTTAAATCTTATATTGAGAATCGTTGTCAGACAGTAGTACTCAATGGGTATACGTCAGCAACTGTGCAAATCCCTTCAGGTATACCGCAGGGATCTCTATTAGGTCCTTTGCTATTTGCGATTTTCATAAATGATATAGGTTCCTGCTTCACTTACTCCAAAATAATCCTTTATGCTGATGACATGAAAATTTTATGTCCCATTACAAATACTTCTGACTGCCTTGGTTTGCAGCGTGATCTCAATGAACTTGAATGATATTGTTCACGCAATAAACTTGACTTGAATGTGTCCAAGTGTTTTATCCTTACTTTTACCCGTAAACCCAATCCCACTGTCTTTCACTACAAATTACAAGACACTACTATAGAGAGATTACAGTCAGTAAAGGATCTTGGTGTATTTTTCGATTCTAAATTACTTTTTGATGCACATATTGACAATATCATTAAAAAAAGCCAATAGAGCACTTGGATTCGTTTTGAGATTTTCCACTGATTTTTATAATATTAAAACATATAAGATACTTTATTGCGCTCTTGTTCGCAGCCATTTAGAGTACGCCTCTCAAGTGTGGAATCCAAATTATAACATTTATATAGATAGGATTGAGCAAGTACAAAAACGTTTTCTACGTTTTCTGCAATTTAAGACGCAATTTTACACTAATAACTACATTTCGCGATGTAAAAAATTTCATATTTTGCCTCTGCACGAACGTAGGCGCATAGCAGATATGATTTATCTTTTTAAATTGGCAAATGGTCATATTGACTGTCCGGAGCTACTGAGTAAATTAGGCTTTACAACAAGAGCTACCCTATTAAGAAAGCCTCGCTTACTCCACGTGCCGCATACCCGGAATAAATACAGGCAAAATTCTTTTATAATACGTGCATGCAGAACTTTTAATGACATTTCCAATAGCGTTGACTTGGATCTGTTTAGTACCAATGTTTCTCGAATCAAAAATATTTTAGCGAAAAAATTCTTTTGTTGAATGTTTTCTGTGTAATTTAGTTAATTTACTGTATTTGTCTTAATCGATGTTTATCTTTTACCGACTGGAATTATTATTTTTAAGCTCATATTGTCTAGTGGTGAAAACTTTTAAATGGCCTTCTAGTTGTTATTCACTTATTTACTGTTAATGTTAGCTGTAAGTTTTCCAATAAGAATAAAATAAAATAAAAATAAAATAAGTTTGTACTTGAATTTTGAGAACCGGACTGAAATTACCTTCTTTACATATTGATGTAAGCCCCAAAAGAAGTCATTTAAAAGCAACAATCGATACAATTATTGTATCGACATATACTTTGTAGAAAATGTTTTAATTCTGGTGTTGTTCCATTCATATAAGTGAAAAGCTAGGGTGGTGATACTTGTAATTATGGTAATTTGTCTTTACCAATTGTACAGCACATATCAGCAGTTTCATTCTTAAATTTATTTGCTTTGCAATATTTATATACCCTATTAATCTTTCCGATAACAATACTTGGATGTTCATCAAACTTTTCCTTTGTATCATAATGAAATGTTTGAACTCGAAATTGTTCTAAACTCGTTTGTAAGTCTTTTTTGGCGTATTGTTACTCTTACTTCATTCTTACTCTACTTCGTTCATTTTCTTGTTCCCTTCGATCAACTGATTGATCACAGCGTTCTTTGTTCTTCAGTTTTGACTTCTTCTAGTTTGCTGCACTCTTTTACGATTTCTCGAAAGCCGTTGTTCTCGTTGTATTTCTGTTTAATTTTTACGCCCTGCTTTTTTCTTCTGAGCATTATCATGATATTGGGTAAATAATCTTTTACGCTTAGGCATTTTTATATATTTTAATTTATTTTTAATCACTTATTACCCTGACATCATTCACTTGTTGATTTTCAGATAGTAGCTGAGATCTGACTGACAAAAAAGCGTTGACTCCCATTTATATATTGTCAGCAATCGTAATTTCTAGTTCCAAACCTTTCCAGCCTGCATAAACACTGAAGTTCAAAAAATCGTCGAAACCCTGCACGGAATGACTATGTATATTCCAGATGAGAATTTTCTAGATTATTCACTCTTCAAGATTAGAGCTTTTTTGAGGACTTTGTTAATTGATTATCGCTTGGCTGAAATCTGACTGACAAAAAAAGCGTTGACTTCCGATTATATAATGTCAGCAATCGAAATTTCTAGTTCCAAATCTTTCTAAACTGCACAACTACACTAAAATTAAAAATTTGAAACTACCCGGAATGACTTTATGTATATTCCGGAATAGAATTTTCTAGGTTATTCACACTCTTCAAGATTTGATTTTGAGAACTTTTTCATTATCACTTGAGCCTGGCTGGAATCTGACTGACATAAAATCTGTAACTCCCACTTATACACTGTCAGCAATCGAAATTTCTAATATATGTATAATGGCTGTTATTTTCCTTTTACTTTTACAACCAGAGCATGTTGCCAATAATGACATATGGATCTAAGATATGGGTTTTCACTGCTTGCCGTATGTGCATACTTAAAAGCGCTCAGCAAGCTATGAAGAGAACTATGCTCAGAGTTTCTGTGTGGAAAAATCTGTAATGATGATATTCACATTAATACTAAAGTAGCTGACATAACCTTAAAAGTAAAAGTAAAGTTACAGCCTATATACGTCCCACTGCTGGGCACAGGCCTCCGCTCATTTCTGAGAGGGTTATAGGGCAAGGAATTGTCCGCCGCGCTACCCCAATGCGTGTTGGCGAACTTCACATGTCTTCGAAATATTTTTTTTCCTTATTTCTCTGACATGCAGGTTTCCTCACGATGTTTTCCTTCACCGCCGAGCACGTGGTAAATCAGCACTTAAAATTGCAATTAACAAATTCATTGGTGCGGGCGGAGATCGAACCCGGTTTGCTCGCATACTGTGCTACCACGGCTCTGGACATAACCTTACAGATCAGTAAACTGAAGTGGCAATGGGCTAGCTATATATCTCAAAAAATAGATAACTGATGGGAAAGAAAGTTTCTCAAGTTGCAGCCTCATACTGGTAAGAAAGTGTGGGCTTGCACTCCACTAGATGTAGTGACGACCTGGTAAGACATGTAGAAAATTAATGGATGCAGGTGACTTAATACTCAAGCACCATGTTTTGTGGCATTCTTTGGAGAAGGATGGCCAATGTTCAGCAGTGAACTTGTGAAGTGCTGTAATGATGGTGATGATGATGATATTATGTTAATGATGATGATAATTAGAAGCTGTAAAATCAATAAAAATGTTCACCTTATCTTTTTAATTTGTGCACTCATTATTCACAGGAAAGTTGATGGGCTTATATTTGGATTATCAGAATGTCGATTGTTTTCACAAATTAAGCAATTGTCTGCTTTAATTTTGGAAGCTGAAATAAACCCAAGAGCCATAGTGCAGCCGTTAATAGAAGTTTGTATTAATACTCAAGTGCCGGTTATATGTTTACCTGGCTTGAAGAAATCCAGTGCATCCAACTTTGGCATATCCACAAGCTGTTTGGGAGTCAAGTCAAATTTTTTACCAGACTTAACAGAAACTGTTATTCATATATCAAAGAATCATAATCTTCCAGAAACAAATAATGTTAAGGTTAATAACAATGAATTAGCCAATTTTGAAATGATAAATAGCGCAGACAATGAAAAAGAACCAGAAATTCCAAACAATGTCCCACGCTTTTCTTACTTGTATAGATCTGATAAAAAAAGAGTATTTGTACCCACGAATGATGAGAGAGCAACTAAAATTAAAAAACAGTTTATTGGGCAAGACTTCATTGAATTTTCTAAAAAACTTGAAAAAGAAAACAAATCATATAAGAAAATGGTGGTAAAGAGAATATCCAACAATCCTAACAGACAGAAGGATTATAATAATACAAAATAAAAGTCTATTTTAAATAAAGATGATTTATTTAATAATAAATTTAGTTTTATAAATTTAATGTCAAAAAAGACATAATAATATGAATTAGACATTCCTTCAATAAGGAATGTTTAATTTACAGTACTCAAAAATTGTTGCAGGATGAAGTTCGAATTCCCTAATACACTCACCGGCACGGAAACTTGGCCAAGCGGTTATCTCGCGATAGCAAAAGCTTTAAGTGTTTCTGATGAATGTTTGTTATGCAAGTATGTCAAAAAAATGTTTACCCTCAAGTTCAAAAGGGTAGTTCATTATGTTTAAGTGCACCATGACGAATTCTTTAATTTTTAGTTGAATCGGGTCATTTGAGCGACTAAGTTCACATTTTAAATTTGTGTGTTGTGAAAAGTTTACTGTAAGGTTATTCAATTATTGTGATCTTGTGTCTTAATTAAATAACTAAAGGTGCTTTAAAGCCAATAAAAATGCCATTAACACCAGCACAAGTTGCACAAGCAGTAGCATTAATTGACCAAGGGCTGACACAGCGTGAAGTTGCTATTGTGCTTAACGTACCACGGTCCTCAATGCAGTATTCACTGAAACGATACCAGGAGACAGGCCGCTACACCCGCAGGCCAGGCAGTGGGGGCGTAAGGTGCACATCGGCCCGGGACGATCGTTTTATTGTTATGGAGATTTTGAGAAACCGCTACCTGACCGCTGTTGAGATACGCCAGCGGCTCCAAATCGCAAGAGGCGTTAATGTTAGTGAGCGTACGGTGAGAAGACGAATGGAGGAAGTGAATTTAAAAGCTCGTAGACCAGCACGAGGTCCAGAACTTCTCAGACAGCACCGAGTAGCCCGACTTCAGTTCGCAAGAGAACATGTCAATTGGACCCACGAGCAATGGGCTAGAGTGTTGTTCACAGATGAGTGTCGAATAGCTTTACGTGCTCCAGACGGTCGAGAACGAGTGTGGAGAAAAAGAGGAGAGAGGTTTCTACCCATTACCACCACCCAAACTGTGAGTTTCCATGGAGGCTCAATAATGGTATGGGGAGGTGTAAGTTCCGACGCACGTACAGAGTTGGTCATCGTCGATAATCGGCTTACAGCTACTCGATACATCGAGGAAGTTCTTCAGGAGCACGTAATGCCTTATTCGGGATTCATTGGACACGACCAATTCCTCCTCATGCACGATAATGCACGCCCGCACGTCGCACATTGTGTAGAAGAATATCTGGAAGAGGTTGGAATACAAAAATTACAGTGGCCAGCTCGTAGCCCGGACTTAAATCCAATTGAGCATGTATGGGGTATGCTCAAAAGAAAGATAAAATCCAGCTCCAAACCGCCACAAACTCTAAATGAGCTCCGAAATGCAGCGCTGGCCGCTTGGGACAGCATACCGCAAGTTGATGTCAGAAACATCATTCAAAGCATGCCAGATCGAATGCAAGCGGTTATCAGGGCTAGAGGAGGAAACACCCGATATTAAAACTGATAGACAATAAAGAAACAGACTTAATTTTTAACTTTGTAGTGTTTTTAAAGTGACAATGGAAAGATGTTAATTTTAGTGAAAACATGTTATCTTGAAAAGAAAAATTTCGGTGAAGTAAACATTAAATTTCTATGTTCTAAAACCATTAGAGACACTTATTGAATGCATCTACCCTTAATTTACTGTTAAAAAAACGTTTCAGTGCAAATAATCAGCAAATTCACGAGTGGCCAAGTTTCCGTGCCGGTGAGTGTATATACTCTTATTTAGAATTTTCCTATCACATTTTTTGAGTATGATATAATATTCAAACATGATCAACAATCATGAATAACTAGTTATTCGCCCCGATTTCGCACGGGTGATTTTTGGATCTCGACAACAGCCCCATCTACCGGGTCCAAATGTAAATATAAACCATCTAATTCAAACACAAAACAAATCATCAAAATCGGTTGGATGGTTTCAAAGTCTATAACGGACATAAGTAGAAACTTTTTTATTTTTCAACATGAAGTAATAATTGAGTTAAATAAAACCTTGATTGGTTCAAATCTGAGAAGTGTACACACCATATTACATTCTGTACTGCTACTCTTTGATTGTACATTACATCCATGATTGTTGAAAAAATTTGAAACCCTAATATAAGACTTAAACACAAGACTCCATAAACAATCAAATAAAACAAGATTGCATAATGGAGTGCACTAAGCAAATAGATACATTTATCTTACGTTTTCATTTGATGCATTGCATTTAAGTTTTATTACAGTTCAATTCAATATAAATCAAACAATAAATTGTGTTCATGACATTTCTATAATAATAATGACTAAATTCCATAATAAATCTGGCCTTAATTGTCATCTAAAATATACTAAATAGAAATGACCATATTTTAGTAGTGTTAAAATTCATATGTCATTATAGTTATTGTAAGCCATAACTATTATAGTGTACTTTAGATGTTCCCTACACTTTATGAAGCAAAAGGCTTCTGTAAAGAATAGAGATACATTGTCTTAAAATATGTATTAATGAATCCATTTATTAACTATCATGTATTTAACAATTTAGTACATAGTACCAATAATATGGTTTATACCATCACACAAGTTGTATAAAATGTAATGTATTAAACTTGTGAAAATATCAATGTATGTATATTAAATTACCTAAAATGAACATATACATTTATACTAATATAAAGTTTATTAATATATAATTGGTGTTATTATGGTTACAGATAAAATATTGTTTTAAAATAAATTTACTTCTAACATTTGGGTCAAAAATGGACCACAGGGAAATATGTAAGGAACTTATTCCTTATTGCTTCTGAATAAACGTACTTTGAATGTCTAACTAGTTTTAAATTATTTAACAATGTGATATAAACTATATAGAAATATATAAACTCCCTAGAGAAATAATTAATTTAAAAGTCATTGTGAATTTGTACATCCTTAGAAACTAAACTTAAAACGTAATTATTAAATAGCGACACACGCTTCTTAGAAGCGTATGACAAAACAATAAGTCAGAATGTACAGAGCAAATGCTTGCTTGGGAGACAAACATTATTTGTTGTAATGCAGCCATTAACCTCGCATTAAGCCGAATGATAGACCCTCAAATTTTTAATATTTTTAGTTAAAATGTTGCTAGATTTCGAAGCTTTCAAAAGATTTGAAAATGCCTGAACGCCGTGACATGGCTACTAAGGAAAAGTCATTGATGCAATGAACTTATAAGCTCTATTTCAAAACGAAATGGAGAATAATTCAAGCATCAATTATTGATCAAAGCATCACCTGCGATAACTCATAGAGGCGAGAGTCTTGGCATTTGCGCCTCGCTCGGTCTGTACCGGTCTAATATTATCGCGCACATTGTCTGTGCGTCTGTTTCATCGGGATAAGCGGCCATCGCTTCAGCGACTTGGGCCTCGGGGAAAATGCCCGCCAGGTGGAAGTGCATGCGACGCCGCGCTTCCCAATGTTGTAAAGCGCCTTCAGAGGCGCAAGGAGAGAGCGGTAATCCGTTACCGATTGCCGCAGCAGCTCCCACTGGCGCTGAAGCGACTCTAGCCGCCGTTGTGTGTAGCCTCGGATCACAAGCCGGATTCAGTGTGAGTTGCCTCACCAACTTCCGATGAGGATTCGTGTCCGGTTGTGGCGGTTGCGAGGGACCGGGTAAGATTTGAGCGCGGTCGAAGTGTGTCGCTAATGTCGCATCCGGCAACCGAGGTGCGGCGGAGTGCGCCCGCGCTAACGGGCGTTTATTATCCGCCGGCCGACCGCTCGGTGGTAAGCTGAGCGTGTGTAAATCGCGCGCCTTCAGCGCCCGAGCCGCCCGTTCGGATAGTTTCTCCGCAACTGGTTTGTGCGGACGACCAGCGCGTTCTGGATGGTGAAATTTACATTTGTTGCCGTATGTGCATTTTCGACCGTAGGGACAAGCGGGTGGTGGATCGGTTTTTGATGGAGGAGCGCGTAGGAATGCGTCTAAAGTTGGACCCGATCGGCCGAGAGGATCATCTGGTGGCATAAAGCGATCGTTTACGAACGAGAACATGAGGAGGCGTTCTTCGACGACTTTACGAAATTCGGGACTTTCGGCGGCAAGATCTCTATAATTGTCGTTGGAGACGACTATGCCATCTGTTTCGGCGGCGAGGCGCAATATGTATCTATCATCGTAGCAGATAAGACGTTTACCACCGAGGAGTCTACTCGGTGTGTACACTAATACTCTTTCCCTTTCCAGTCGATCGAGAGCGTCTCTGTCGGCTACGGGGTTGTCGGGTCTTGAAGCTTCTTTGCGCCACTTCGGTACAAACACAGTTATCTCCTTGTGGCCTCGCGCTCGGAACCAATCGACGCATATCTCGATACCGCGGCATGAGAATATTTCTTTATTGCCATGGCTGAAAGGTAAAGATAGGTTATTTAAAAAAATATAACATGTATCACAGTCTTAAATAAAGAAATAGATAAAAATGATTTTGTAATGATGTCTCCAGTTTCATAGATTAAAACTACTTTTACGGATTTTAATGCGTTTAATTCTACTTGTTTTTAATTTCCGACGATGTGATAAAATCCGTAAAAGTAGTTTTATTCAATGTGTAGTTTACGGCTAAAAATATGAGAAATCTATTGTCTCCAGATTCATTTTAATTAAGGTCGGGGAAAAAGTGTCTTTGTATTTTATTTGTATAAAATTGAAGAAAAATCTTTTTGGTTGTACTGTCTGTGTCTAACTAGTTTTAATATCAATACATACAGGGCATTAAGAAAAAGAAAAAAAAAAGTATAAAACACTTTCCCGCCATTTTTCAATTGTTTTTATGGATACCAAAATGAGTTAACCTTACAAAAAAAAATCTAATATATTCTGAAGTTTTATTACAAAAAAAGGAAAAAATGCGACTCAAGTCGCGAAAAAAATTTATAACGTTTATGGACTTAATGCGCAGTGTCAGTAAGACACAAAGTTGGTTCAAGCGTTTTCAATCAGGGAATATTGATGTCAAAGATGCAGATCGCTCTTGTCGCCCTCATACGAATAATAAATTTGATGCCCTTTTTGGAAATTTTAGCAAGATCGACAGTAAGTATTTACGACATAGCTGAGGCATTGAGGATTGACCACAAAACTGTTTTGACCCATTTGGAAAAGTCAGGTTTTACAAAAAAGCTCGATATTTGGGTACACCCCAGCCCACTGAAAGAAACCTAATGAATCGTGTACTCATTTTGCAATTCTCTGTTGAAACGTAATGAAACCGAACCATTTTTGAAATATTGATCACTATTGATGAAAAGTGAATCACCTACGACAAGTACGTGCTAATGCTAGATAGATCATGGTCAAAAAGTAGGCTTCAAAGACTAGCAAAACCCGGATTAACACGCAATAAGGTGATGCTGTGTGTATGGTGGAATTATAAGAGCATTGTTCATTACGAGTTTTTTCGCCGGACAAAACTATCGATTTGGATCTCTACTATCAACAACTAATGAGACTCGAGCAAGAAATTGAGAAAAAACTAACGAAATGGATCAACAGAAAAGGAGTGATCTTTCATCATGGTGACGTTGAACCACACACATCTTTACCCACTCACCAAAAATGAGAGTTTGGTTGGGAAGTGTTAATGCATCCACCATATATTCCTGACGCTGCTCCTTCAGATTTTCACTTGTTTCAGTCTCTTCAGAATTCTTTGGAAAGTTAGGTTAAAAGAGATCTGTAAAAACTACTTGTCTCATTTTTTTGATCAAAAATCCCAAGATTTCTACAGCAACGGGATTATGTCGCTACCTACAAGATTGCAACAAGTTATCGAACAAAATGGCACATATATATTATAAATTATAATTAAATGTAATTAAACTTTGAAAAACATAGTCTTGAATTTGTATATAAAATACGAAAACACTTTTTCCCCGACTTTAAGGTAAACATTTTATTCATTCATCACAATTGTCACGCATGGAAACTAGATTAGCAACCGCAGTTTTTCATTATTTAGAGTTGTAATTAAGAAGATTTTTTTTATTTTATAGAAGAGGGGGCAAACGAGCATGCGGCTCACCTGAAGTTAAGTGACTACCGCCGCCTATGATCAACCGCAACACCAGGGAAATTGCAGGTACGTTGCCGGCCCTTTAGAAAGCTCGAGTAAGCTCTTTTCTTGAAGGTCCTCAGGTTGTATCGGTCAGGAAAAATCGCCGGTGGTAAACTATTCCACAGAGAGGTCGTACGCGGAAGAAAACTCCTTTTGAAACGTACAGTGGTAGACCGCAAAGCATCCAGATGGTGTGGATGGTATCGGGACGTTTGCCGCGTATTGCGTTCACGAAATTTGGATTATTCTAATGAGATATAAGATGATTATATAAGATGCTTCTCTTCCATCGGTCGCCTCTAATGACTCCCACAGGATGATATAGAGTATTGGATTTCTTAACGCCGCGCCGCTA